AAAAAAAAAAAAAAAAAAAAAAAAAAAAAAAAAAAAAAATTGAACGTAGTAATGATTGTGCAACTCCGTGCATATACTAAAAACCATTCAGTTGTGCATTTTGCTTCAAACAAAACAATTCCTGTCTTCCCGGACTACTGCCTACTGCGCCAGGCAGCAAAGAAAAGAAATAAACAAACTAGATATGGTATCGGATGCTGGCCAGTGCTGTGCGGGGTGGGGGGATTATGGTAAGGGGGTGGGAGGCGTGGGCTGAGTTGTGTCTTGCTTTTTTTTTTCCTTTGAACTTTTTATTTTGAACCATTGCCAATCTACGGGAAAGTAGCAAGAATAGAGCATAGAACACATGATGCATTTCAGGAGATTCACAGTCGCTGGCCTGTGGCCATGTTTGCTGCATCCGTCTGTATTTGCACGTGATCTCTGCTGGCATCATCGGTATTGATGGGCCATTTGACAGTTAGTCGAAGACACTGTGTCCTTTTATCCCTCAAGGTGACAGCAGGTTATCTCCTGAGACCAGGGGCATTTTCCTGTTGGCGGTGACATACAGGAAATACAGCAGTGGTATAATCCTGGCCTCTACCCCACAGCCCATACTCAGATTTCATCTGTCATCCCAGGAATATCCTTGGCAGCTACTTTTTTTTTTTTCCTGGTCAGGGATCCATCCGGGTCCCCGAATTGCGTTTAGCTGCACTGACTCTTATGTCTCCTTTCATCGGAACAGCCCTCAGCCTCTCTCTTGTCTTTTGTGACATTGACATGATCGATTAATTCAGGCCAGTTTTGCAGAATGTCCCTCAATTTGGGTTGCCTGATGTTTCCTCTCGATTGCAGTTGAGGGTGCACTGAAGCAGGAATTCTGCAGCTGGAACGCCCTGTCCTGCTCTGCGTGGCCCATGAGGAGCACGTAGTGTGATCTGAAATTGGAAAGTCAGGGAAATAGTTGCAAAGGACAGGCCATCAAAGGAGAGCCCCGAGTGACAAAGAGGAGGGAGGCCCTTCTTCACGGCGGCCTTGGCCAAAGAGCCAGCCTCTCTAAGCCTCAGTCTCATCTTCTGTTCAATGAGGATCATAAAAACACCAACCTCTCTCCCAAAATCGGATGTCAAGTAGAAAAAGAAAAAGAAAAAAAAAAAAAGACATCAACGTCGTGGCAGTGATTTTTAAGGACTTGCTGAGATCAGGGATGCAAAGTACTCGTTTAGGACAGATCACTGGAGGTCAGGAGTTCGAGACCAGCCTGGCCAACATGGTGAAACCCTGTCTCTACTAAAAATACAAAAATTAGCCAGGCGTAGTGGCACACGCCTGTAATCCCATCTACTCAGGAGGCTGAGGCAGAAGAATCACTTGAGCCAGGGAGGCAGAGGTTGCAGTGAGCCGAGATCATGCCACTGAACTCCAGCCTGGATGACAGAACAAGACTCCATCTCAAAAAAATAAAAAGAGTTTGACACCAGCCTGGGCAACATTTCAAGACCCCGTCTCTGCAAAACATATTTTTAAAATTAGCCCGGCATTGTGCTGCCTGCCTGTAGTCCCAGCTGTTTAGGATGCTGAAGTGGGAGAATTTCATGAGCCCAGGAATTCCAGGCTGCAGTGAACTCTGATCACACCACTGCACTCTAGCCTGGGTGACAGAGCAAGAGCCTGTCTCTTTAAAAAAAAAAAAAAAAAAAAAAAAAAAGGATCTGCTTGCAGCCATCTGCATAGGTTAAGCCCTTCGCTGGAGCTTGGCATCTGGCCACAGCATCAGGCTTGGTAGCTGCGCCGGAGGTGGCAGTGGTGGCCTGATGGCTCCTTCTCCCTGTCACGTGACAGGCAGTGTTGCACGGTGGTCACACAGCACAGGCTCCAGACCCAAGGCCCTACCACTTTCTGGCTGTGCAATCCTGGGGCAAGTGACCAAACCCCTCTGGGCCTCAACCTCCTCGTCTGGAAAGTGGGCATTAAAACCGGGCTTTGTGGTGCTGGGAAAATGGATGTAATATGCTTAAAGCACTTAGAACCCTGCCTGCTAAGGGGTAAGTGTCGTGCAAGTGATCCAGATTAAATATTAATAGCCCTTTACACTGATCTGCAGACCCGGCAGGCTCCCCAGGCACCGGCATCTTTCGGCCCTTTTAGCAGAAAGCCCACCAGTCCCCAGCAGAGGGCTGTGTCCCCAGGAACTCCTGTTCGCCCCCCCACCCTCACCTCACTCCTGCTTGTTTTCTGCCTCCCTCCATTTTTCGTTTGTTTGTTTTTTGAGACAAGGTCTCACTGAATCACCCAGGCCAGAGTGCAGTGGTGCAGTCACAGCTCACTGCAGCCTCAGCCTCCCGGGCTCAAGCAAGCCTCCTGCCTCAGCCTCCAGAGCTGTTGGGATTACGGGAAGCCATCACCTGCCTGGCTAATTTTTGTATTTTTAGTAGAGATAGCATTTCACCAATTTGGCCGGACTAGTCTCAAACTCCTGACCTCAGGTGATCCGCCTGCCTTGCCCTCCCAAAGTGCTGGGATTACAGGTGTGAGCACCGTGCCCGGCCCATGTTTTTTTTTTTAATTGCAGCATCTGTATGATGTTCCTATTTTACGGACAGGGACCTGAGGTCAGGAGAGAGGAGTGGGGTTTTGCCCACCTTGTCAGGTTGTCAGGGCTGGGACTCAGAGCTTCTGTCGCTTCTATCAGAGGGGCTGGGACAAAGATGAGAGAGAGGGAGAGGGTGTCTGTGAGTGTGTGTTAGTGAGTGTGTGTGTGTGAGTGTGTGTGAGTATATGTGTGTGTTAGAGCGTGTGTGTGAGCGTGACTGAGCGTGAGTGTGTTAGTGTGTGAGAGCGTGTGTGTGTTTGTGTGAGCATGTGTGTTAGTGAGTGTGCGGGGGGGTGTGTTTGTGTGTGTTAGTGTGTGAGCGTGTGTGTGTATGTGTGTGTTGTGACAGTGTGTGTGAGCATGTGTTAGTGAGTGTGTGTGAGTATATGTGTGTGTTAGAGCGTGTGTGAGCGTGACTGTGAGCGTGTGAGTGTGTTAGTGAGTGTGTGTGGGTGTGTGTTAGTGTGTGTGTGGGTGTGAGCGTGTGTGTGTATGTATGTGTTGTGAGAGCGTGTGTGTGTGTGAGCGTGTGAGTGTGTTAGTGTGTGTGTATGTGTAATAGGTGTGGGGTGGGGGACAGGCCCCTCCTGCAGTAACCCCCTCCCTGCAGGAGCTGCGGGAACGAGTCCTCCGGGGAAAGTACCGGGTCCCTTTCTACATGTCAACAGACTGTGAGAGCATTCTGCGGAGATTCTTGGTGCTGAACCCAGCTAAACGCTGTACTCTCGAGGTGAGCCCAGCCCCACGGCCCACAGGGACCCCTCTCGTCTCCTGACTCCCCCAAACCCTGCCTGCCCCCACCCACAAAAGCCTTCTTGACACGCTTTTCCTCTCCCGTGCCCACCTAAGATCTGCTGCTGGTGAGTCGGGGTAGACAGGCAGTCCAGGGAAAAGCTCCCAGGCCTGTCCTGACGCCACCCCCCCGACAGGCTCACCCACTCCCTGCCTTGCCAGTAATTAGCTAATGAGCTCCTAGGATGATTACAGGGTGCCAGGGACCCAGATGATGCGGAGGAGGGAGGGTGGCATCAGGAGGCTCCGGCAGGGGATGCGGGGGAGAGGGAGGGCCAGGAGGCGCGATCTTTTAGGGAGCCCAGAGTTCTGGATGGTAGCCTCGGAGGTTTCGGGCAGGGCAGGTAGCCCCACCTGGGGGCCCCTGGGAGGTTGGAAGCTGTATGACTCCTGGTTCCTTCTGACACCTGTCTTCCCTCTTCCCTGCTCCTGATCCCTGCAGCAAATCATGAAAGACAAATGGATCAACATCGGCTATGAGGGTGAGGAGTTGAAGCCATACACGGAGCCTGAGGAGGACTTCGGGGACACCAAGAGAATTGGTGAGGGTCAGGGAGAGCCATCCTGTCACCCGGGATGGAATGCAGGGTGACAGGATGCAACCTGGCTCACTGCAGCCTCCGCCTCCCGGGTTCAAGAGATGCTTGTGCCTCAGCCTCCCAGGTAGCTGGGACCACAGGCGCCGGCCACCACGCTCGGCTAATTTTTGTATTTTTAGTAGAGACACAGTTTCACCATGTTGGCCAGGCTGGTCTCAGACTCCTGACCTCAGGTGATCCGCCCAACTCAGTCTCCCACAGTGCTGGGATCACAGGCGTGAGCCAGTGCCCCCGGCCCATGTTCACTCTGATCTTAAGACAAAACGAGAACAGGTGAGGTGGCTCATGCCTGTAATCCCAACACTTTGGGAGGCTGAGGCAAGAGAATCGCTTGAACCCAGGAGGCAGAGGCTGCAGTGAGCCAAGATCATGCCACTGTACTCTGGCCTGTGCAGCAGACAAGACTCCATCTCTAAAAATGGCAAACTTTGGCCAGGGGAGGTGGCTCAAGCCTGTAATCCCAGCACTTTGGGAGGCTGAGGCAGGAGAATCACTTGAGCCCAAGAGTTTGAGACTGGCTTGGGAAGGCCGGGTGCAGTGGCTCATGCCTGTAATCCCAACACTTTGGGAGGCCAAGGTAGGAGAAGCAGTTGGGCTCAGGAGTTGGAGACCAGCCTGGGCAACACAGGGAGACCCTATCTGTACAAAAAAATAAAGATAAAAAAATTAGCCAAGCATGGTGGTGCGCACCTGTAGTCTCAGCTACTCAGGAGGCTGAAGTAGGGAGATTGCTCGAGCCCAGGAGTTGGAGGCTGCAGTGAGCTATGATCACGCCACTGCACTCCAGGTGACAGGGCGAGACCCTGTCTCAAAAAAAGAAAAAGGGCCAGGCATGGTGGCCCAGCACTTTGGGAGGCTGAGGTGGGCAGATCACCTGAGGTCTATAATCCCAGCACTTTGGGAGGCTGAGGCGGGCAGATCACCTGAGGTCTGTAATCCCAGAACTTTGGGAGGCTGAGGTGGGCAGATCACCTGAGGTCTATAATCCCAGCACTTTGGGAGGCTGAGGCGGGCAGATCACCTGAGGTCTGGAGTTCGAGACCAACCTGGCCCACATGATGAAACCCCTTCTCTACTAAGAATACAAAAGTTAGACGGGTGCAGTGGCAGGCACCCGTAATCGCAGTTCCTCAGGAGGCTGAGGCCCGAGAATTGTTTGAATCTGGGAGGCGGAGGTTGTAGTGAACTGAGATCATGCCGCTGCACTCCACCCTGGGCGACAAGAGTGAAATTGCATCTAAAAAGAAAAAGTAATTACAGTTTTTGCCATTAAACAAATGGCAAAAACCACAAATACTTTTGCACCAACCTAATTATATTAATAGGTTGAAAACAACAAAAAGTTGAACCATGTGAAATTGCCCTTTTACTGTTTAAAAATCATCAGTACCACCAATTTTGTATGGTTTAACCTAATAGTGAGAATTCATTCTGTCACATAACTAAAATAAACAGAGTTTTCAGCCTTCAGGCACAGTTGGATCCTGGTGCTCAGAGACAGTTGTTGGGAATGTTTTCTGTGGTAGCTTTTTCCCACGCTGCTCTCACCCCAGGAGGCAAGCAGATCTGGGTCACATACCTGCCCTGAACCAGTCAGTGTGGCTTTGGGTGTAGAATGCACTAAGCTGGACTTAGGTTATCTGCCTGCCTTAGGGTTGGAGCAGGGCAGCCATCCACATGATCTGAGCGGGGAGAGAATGTTCTTTCAAAGGAAATCAATGTGCTGTTGGGAAGGGAGGATGGGTACAGGACAGGTCAGAGAGTAGACGTCACTGAAAGTCGCAGGAATGAGTGCAAGTGGGGCTGGGCACAGTGGCTCCCAGCATTTTGGGAGGCCAAGGCGGGCAGATCACCTGAGGTCAGGAGTTCAAGACCAGCCTAACCGACATGGAGAAACCCTGTCTCTACTAAAAATACAGAACTAGCCGGGCATAGTGGTGCATGCCTGTAATCCCAGCTACTTGGGAGGCTGAGGCAGGAGAATCACTTGAACCCGGGAGGCAGAGGTTGTGGTGAGCCGAGATCACGCCATTGCACTCCAGCCTGGGCAACAAGAGCAAAACTCCATCTCAAAAAAAAAAAAAAAGAATGAAGAAATGGGTGGTTTAAGTTCTAGGAGTCTGAAACTTCTCTCCATCCCCCCGCAGAGGTGATGGTGGGTATGGGCTACACACGGGAAGAAATCAAAGAGGCCTTGACCAGCCAGAAGTACAACGAAGTGACCGCCACCTACCTCCTGCTGGGCAGGAAGACTGAGGTCAGAGGGCACCGGGGCCCTCGGGAATGTGTGATGCCTGGGTGGAGGGACTTGGGGGGCAGAGGGGATGGGGTGCGGAAGAGCCTCATTTTTCATCCTCTCACAGGAGGGTGGGGACCGGGGTGCCCCAGGGCTGGCCCTGGCACGGGTGCGGGCGCCCAGCGACACCACCAATGGAACAAGTTCCAGCAAAGGCACCAGCCACAGCAAAGGGCAGCGGAGTTCCTCTTCCACCTACCATCGGCAGCGCAGGCATAGCGACTTCTGTAAGTACCAGGCCCTCGCCCTCATGTGCCCTCCTCCTCCCCAAGGCCCAGATTGGCAGTTATGTCAGGGTTCTGTGATTGGCAAGCAACAGAAACCCACTGGAGCTAACTGCAGAGAGGGAGGAACGTCTTCTGAAGACATGGGGCATTGCATGGAACTTGGAGGTGGAAATGCACAGCCAGGCTCAGGAAGGGATTAAAACTGGAAAAGCAGGCTGGGCGTGGTGGCTCACACTTATAATCCTAGCGCTTTGGGAGGCTGACACGGTTGGATCACGAAGTCACGAGTTCAAGACCAGCCTGGCCAATATGATGAAACCCTGTCTCTACTAAAAATATAAAAAATTAGCTGGGCATGGTGGTGTGCCCCTATAATCCCAGCTGCTTGGGAGGCTGAGGCAGGAGAATTACTTGAACCCAGGAGGCGGAGGTTGCAGTGAGCCAAGATCATGCCACTACACTCCAGCCTGGGTGACAGAGCAAGACTCTGTCTCAAAAAACAAACAAAACTGGAAAAGCAGCCAGACCCAACACAGATACTCTCTGTCCTGCTTCCTCTCTGCTTGTGTGGTTTTTCCTTTGCCTCTTACTTATTTCATCCTTTCTCCTGATCCCTCAGTTCCCCGATTTTTTTTTTTTTTTTCAACCAGAGTCTCACTCTGTCATCTAGGCTGGAGTGCAGTGGGGCGATCTTGGCTCGCTGCAACCTCAGCCTCCTGAGTAGCTAGGATTACAGGCACCCACCACCACGCCTGGCTAATTTTTATATTTTTAGCAGAGATGGGGTTTCACCATGTTGGCCAGGTTGTTCTTGAACTCCTGACCTCATGATCTGCCCACTAAGCCTCCACAAGTGCTTGATTACAGGCGTGAGCTACTGCACCCGACTCCTGATTTCTTACCTTAGAGACCAATCCAAATGGTAGCTGGAATCTCTTTGGTCCAAGATGGGGTTCTGATATCAGAGTCCAGTTTGAATTAATCCACTGTAATTGGAGCACAGGAGGACACATTGTGCAAAGTGGCTGCTGAGAGCCTGCCCTCTGGCTTCACCTCCACACTGAAGTGAGGGAGGCTTTTCCTAGTGGAAGGGGGCTGGGCAGACAACTGATGATACCCCACATTGTGCAATTGACAGACATCTCATCTGATGCAGAAAATGAATACAGAGTCTGAGTTTAAATCTGGGCCAGGTGCCGTGGCTCCCGACTATAATCCTAGCATTTTGGGAGGCTGAGGCAGGTGGATCACCTGCAACTGGGAGTTTGAAACCAGCCTGGCTAACATGGTGAAACCCCGTCTCTACTAAAAATGCAAAAATTAGCCTGGCGTGGTGGCGCGTGCCTGTAATCCCAGCTACTCGGGTTACTGAGGCAGGAGAATTGCTTGAACCTGAGAGGCAAAGGTTGCAGTGAGCCGAGATCGCTCCATTGCACTCCAGCTTGGGTAACAGAGAGACCCTGTTTAAAAAAAATTTAAAAAAGAAAATGAATACACACTACCATCAGCACCCATTAGGCTTGGGAATTTCCGAGAGGTCTCTTAACCCATACACTCATCAAATTTTAAACCCCTCTGATATTTTTTTAAAGCTTTATAAAAGTTAAATTGTATATGCCAAATAATATACCCGTTTAAAATGCACAATTCAGGCCAGGCACAGTGGCTCATGCCTGTAATCCCAACATTTTGGGAGGCTGAGGCAGGAGGATCACTTGAGCCCAGGAGTTCTAGGCCAGACTAGGCAACAAAGCAAGATCCCATCTCTACAAAAAAAATTAAAAATTAGCTAGGTGTGGTAGCAAATGACTGTGGTCCCAGCTACTTGGGAGGGTGAGGTGGGAAGATCACTTGAACCCAGGGGATTGAGGCTGTGGTGAGCCGTGATCACGCCGCTGCACTCCAGCCTGGGTGACAGAGTGAGACCTCATCTCAAAAAATAAATTAAAAAGTGCACAATTCAGTGGCTTTAATATATTTATAGAGTTGTACATTTATCATGATGACCAATTTCAGAACACTTTCATTACCCCGAAAATAAAATCCACAACCTTTAGCAGTCAACTTCCAGGCTGGGCTCGGTGGCTCTTGCCTGTAATCCCAGCACTTTGGGAGGCCGAGGTGGGCAGATCACCTGAGTGCGGGAGTGAGACCAGCCTGGGCAGCATGGCGAAACCCCGTCTCTACTAAAAATACAAAAATTAGCCAGGCGTGGTGGCGTGTGCCTGTAATTCCAGCTACTCAGGAGGCTGAGGCAGGAGAATCACTTGAACCCAGGAAGTGGAGGTTGCAGTGAGCCAAGATCTCACCACTGCACTCCAACCTGGGCAACAAAAGTGAGACTTCTCAAAATAAAAAGAAAAATCAACTGGCTGGGTGCCGTGGCTCACGCCTGTAGTCCCAGCAATTTGGGAGGCCCAGGTGGGTGGATCACCTGAGGTCAACAGTTCAAGACCAGCCTGGCCAACATGGTGAAACCCCATCTCTACTAAAAATACAAAAATTAGGCCAGGTGAGGTGGCTGACTCCTATAATCCCAGCACTTTGGGAGGCCAAGGCAGGAGGATCACAAGGTCAGGAGTTCAAGACCAGCCTGGCCAACATGGTGAAACCCCATCTCTACTAAAAATACAAAAATTAGGCCAGGTGAGGTGGCTGACTCCTATAATCCCAGCACTTTGGGAGGCCAAGGTGGGAGGATCACTGGAGTTCAGAAGTTTGAGACCAGCCTGGGCAACATGTCAAAATCCTCGTCTCTACTAAAATTACAAAAAAAGCTGGGCATGGTAGTGTGTGTCTGTAGTCTCAGTTACTTGGGAGGCTGAAGCGGGAGGATGGCTTGAGCCTAGGACGCAGAGGTTGTAGTGAGCCGAGATCACGCTGCTGCACTTCAGCCTGGGCAACAGAGTAAGATCCTGTCTCAAAAAAAAAGAAGGAAAATAAAGATATATGAAAACAGTGAGTACATTCTCCCCATTTGAAACAAAGTCCTTTGGAGATATTAATCTATAAGCAAGTAGATACAGGTGGAAATACATAGATACACACTTCTTTGCTTTTGTAGACAAGTGAGAACACATTGCTGACCCACCACTTGTCTTGCCTTTCCCACTTTATGTCTGTCGTGAAGGTCATTCTGTATTGGTGCATGAACTGCTTCCTTATTCTTTTGTATAGCTGTGTAATTTTTCGTTGTGGAAATACTTACGGAGTCATTCCACTCCTAAGGGGCATTTAGGCTGTTCCCAGTCTAATGGTACAGGCCGGACACGGTGGCAGACGCCTGTAATTCCAGTTACTTGGGAGGCTGAGGCAGGAGAATCGCTTGAGCCCGGGAGGCAGAGGTTGCAGTGAGCGGAGATTGCGCCACCGCACTCCAGTCTGGGTGACAGAGCCAGACTGCATCTCAAAAAAAAAAAAAGGTGGCAATGAATGGCTTGTATGTGCATGATGTCATGGATTTGGAGTTTCTGGGTCAGTATAGGTACGTTGGTAATTTTGACAGATGTCAGAATGGCCCACACAGAGATTGCAGCCCACGTGAGGAATTCTCAGGTTCCAACGATCCCTCAGAGTCAGTTCTGGGAGGTGATGTCAGCTCTAACCGGTGCCCCTTCCCCCAGGTGGCCCATCCCCTGCACCCCTGCACCCCAAACGCAGCCCGACGAGCACGGGGGAGGCGGAGCTGAAGGAGGAGCGGCTGCCAGGCCGGAAGGCGAGCTGCAGTGCCGCGGGGAGCGGGAGTCGAGGGCTGCCCCCCTCCAGCCCCATGGTCAGCAGCGCCCACAACCCCAACAAGGCAGAGATCCCAGAGCGGCGGAAGGACAGCACGAGCACCCCCGTGAGTGACCGGGGCTGGGGGGCAGGGCTGGGGGCGCCGCCACCTGTGGCCAGCCTGCCAACACCACCAGGGCCACATTCCTCAGGCCCCGCCTTCATCTGGTTCCCCAGACGGAACCCCTTCCTACCGACTCCTTATACCCGTTCATTCATTCAGCAAACATCTGTGGAGTGCCTCTGTTTGAGCTCAGTTTATACACTAATACTGAATGTTAGTGCATAAATTAGTGTTCTGTCTGGGCTTGGTGGCTCAGCCTGTAATCCCCGCACTTTGGGAGGCTGAGGCGGGCGGATCACTTGAGGTCAGGAGTTTGAGAAGAGCCAGGCCAACATGGTGAAACTCCATCTTGACTAAAAATACAAAAATTAGCTGGGCTTGGTGGCGGGCGCCTATAATCCCAGCTACCCAGAAGGCTGACACAGGAGAATCGTTTGGAACCTGGGAAACGGAGTTTGCAATGAGCCAAGACCGCACCATTGCACTCCAGCCTGGGCAACAGGGCGAGACTCTGTCTTTAAAAAAAAAAAATAGTATTCTGTGTCAAGTGCAGAAGGTACTCTTGGCAGAAAGAATTTAATACAGGAAATTAAGTGCTTTTCAAAGTGTGGGAAGGGTGGGGCACGGTGGCTCATGCGTATAATCCTGGCATTTTAGGAGGCCAAGGCAGGAGGATCACCTGAGGCCAGGAGTTCGAGACCAGCCTGGCCAACATGGAGAAACCTGGTCTTTACTAAAAATATAAATTAGCCGGGTGCAGTGGCGCACGCCTGTAATCCCAGCTACTCGGCAGGTTGAGGCAGGAGAATTGCTTGAACCCAGGAGGTGAAGGTTGCAACGAGCCGAGATTGCGCCATTGCACCCCAGCCTGGGAAACAAGAGTGAAACTTTGTCTGAAAAAAAGAAAAAAAATTGTAAGAAGGACTGGAGGAGTGGACAGTGGACCGGATTTATAGGAACCGCAGTCGTAACCACACTGCAGAACTGACCCACCAAGAGAGCTGGTCCTTCTGAGGCTGCCCCAGCGCTGATGAATTCAAGAGCACATTGTCAACAAGGCCAGGCTCGGTAGCTCACGTCTGTAATCCCAACACTTTGGGAGGTGGAGGTGGTGGATCCCTTGAGATCAGGAGTTCAAGACCGGCCTGGCCAACATGGCAAAATCCTATCTGTACTAAAAATATAAAAATTAGCTGGACGTGGTGGTGCATGCCTGTAAGCTACTTGGGAGGCTAAGGCAGGAGCGTCGCTTGAACCTGGGAGGTGGAGGTTGCAGTGAGCTGAGATTGTGCCATTGCACTTCAGCCTGGGTAACAGGGTAAGACTCTGTCTCAAAAAAAAAAAAAAAAAAGTAGCCGGGCACGGTGGCTCAAGCCTGTAATCCCAGCACTTTGGGAGGCCGAGGCGTGTTGATCACGAGGTCAAGAGATCAAGACCATCCTGGTCAACATGGTGAAACCCCATCTCTACTAAAAATACAAAACATTAGCTGGGCATGGTGGCGCGTGCCTGTAATCCGAGCTACTCAGGAGGCTGAGGCAGGAGAATTGCCTGAACCCAGGAGGTGGAGGTTGTGGTGAGCCGAGATCGCACCATTGCACTCCAGCCTGGGTAACAAGAGTGAAACTCCGTCTCAAAAAAAAAAAAAAGTACATTCATGGCTGTAATCCAAGACTCAAAAACCTCATATACTCTACCAAAAGAGCTGCTGCTTTTTCTTTTTTTTTTTTTTTTTAAGACGGAGTCTCGTTCTGTCGCCAGGCTAGAGCGCAGTGGCGTAATCTCGGCTCACTACAACCTCTGCCTCCTGGTTCAGGCAATTCTCCTGCCTCAGCCTCCCAAGTAGCTGGGACTATGGGCACTTGCCACCACACCTGGCTAATTTTCGTATTTTTAGTAGAGACAGGGTTTCACCATGTTGGCCAGGATGTTCTCAATCTCTTGACCTCATGATCTGCCCACCTTTGCCTCCCAAAGTGCTGGGATTACAGGCGTAAGCCACTATGCCTGGCCCCAAAGAGCTTCTTGATGCCCAAAGGGTTGGACAGCCAGCACTGGAGCCCCGCTAAAGCAAAGACCTTCATCTCATAGCCTTGCCTATATGAGCTGAAGTCAAAGTAGCCAGGAGAGCAGCTGCTGCCCCATTTCCATCTTCTAAATCTTCATGAATGCAAAGATTGGCAGAACCCAACTTATATGCAAAACCTGAGCTGCAAAGGATGCTGGGAAATGTAGTATTGCCTTTCCTGTCTGAGTTCCCAAGAACGGCATAGTACCAAAATATCCTCAGCATAGGAACGGAGAGTGGAGGCAGCTGGATATGGTGACACACACATGTAGTCCCAGCTACTTGGGAGTCTGAGGTGGAAGGATTACTTGAGGCCAGGAGTTTGAGATCAGCCTGGGCAACATGGTGAGATCCTATCTCTTAAAAAAGAGAAGGGTGGAGGCAGTTTGATAAAGTGGCCAGGACTCTGAAGCCATGTAGAGTTTTAATTACATTAATGAGCTGTGTGACCTTGGGCAAGCAACTTCACCTTTCTGAGCTTCAATATTTCACTCTGTGAAATGGGCTCATTAAAGAACCTGGGTCATTGTGAGGATCTTGCAAGCTCTCACACATGAAGTATTTCACATACTGTCACAGTCAGCACTTAGTGAATGAGAGCTATTGTTACAGCTAAACAAAACCCACACCTTAAGAAGCTGGAAAAGGAAAAGCAAATTAATCTCAAAGAAAGTAGAAAGGACTGGAAGTGGTGGCTCACGCCTGTAATCCCAGCACTTCAGGAGGTTCAGGCAGTAGGATCGCTTGAGCTCAGGAGTTCAAGACTAGCCTGGGCAACATAGACCCTGTCTCTGCCAAAAATTAAAAATCAGCTAAGTGTTGTGGCACATGCCTGCGGTTTTAGCTCCTTGGGAGGCTGAGGTGGGAGGATCCACTCGTGGCCAGGAGGTTGAGGCTATAGAGAGCCATGATCACACCACTGCATTCCAGCCTAGGCATCAGAACAAGACCCCATCTCAAAAAAAAAAAAAATTAGAAGAGAAGAGGCATTAAAGAGAAGGAATCAGTGAAGGAGAAGCAAATCAACAAAACCTAAAGTTGGTTCTTTGAAAAGATTAATAAAATCAGCCTGGGCGCAGTGGCTTGCATCTGTAATCCCAACACTTTGGGAGACCAAGGTGGGTGGATCACATGAGATCAGGAGTTTGAGACCAGCTTGGCCAACATAGTGAAACCCCGTTTCTACTAAAAATACAAAAAATAAGCTGGATGTGGTGGTGCATGCCTGTAATCGCAGCTATTCGGGAGGCTGAGGAAGGAGAATCACTTGAACCTGAGAGGAAGAGGCTGCAGTGAGCCGAGATTGCGCCATTGCACTGCAACCCGGGCAACAAGAGCAAAAACTCCATCTCAAAAAAAAAAAAAAGAATGAAAAGATTAGTAAAATCAAATGGACCCCTGGTAAAATCAGTTAAGGGAAAAAGATGGCAGACATGAATCACCAGTCTCCAAAATGAAAAGGGGAACTTTGTTCTAACATTAAAAGATAGTAAGATGATATTAGGAACTACTTTATGCCAATAAATTTAACAGCTTAGATGAAACAGACACATTAAATACACAGTGTATCAAAACTGACACAAGAAGAAATAGAAAACCTGAACAGTCTTATATTCTAATTAAAGAAATTGAGTTCATAACTGAAAACCTTCTCCATAAAGATTTCTGGCTCAGATGGCTCCCACCAGTGGAATTCTTCCAGACACTTAAAGAAGAAATAATACTAACCTTAGACAAACTTCCAGAGAATAGAAAAAGAGGGATCTCTTCCTAACAAGTTTATGAGGCAGCATAATCCTGATATTCCCTGTGTTCCCAGAGCTCACAGCCCAGTATGGGATGGGGACATATATGAGAACAGACATTGACAATGCAGTGATTGAAGCTGTAGTGGGGAGCCCAGGGGGCTGTGGGAGCCCAAAGGAGGCACGTGACTCAGCCTGGGGCCGGGGGTGGTGGTAGATTATGAACTGACACCTGAAAGATATGTAGGAGTGAGTCAGGGGAAAAGGTAGGAGGAATGTTCTAACAGGTGAGACAGCCAATGCAAAGGCTAGGCACAGTGACAGAATGTGGCATGAATAAGCACACTAGCAAACGTTTAGTATGGCTGGGCTGGACCTCAACAAGGCAGGCATTGCTGGGAGAAGAGCGGTGGACGAGGATACCCTCTGGAAACCTTCCCTGCCTCGTTTTCCCTCAGTGTCCCCCTCTTCTCTGAGCTCCAGGGGTCTCCCTTGGCTCAGCCTAGGTGGCTGAGATCACTCATGAACCTTTCACATCTTTGGGACCTTTCAACTATCTCCTACTCACCCTCGGTTCCCACACGGGCCCTTGACTCATTCATCACTGGGGTGGGCAGAGAGGGGAGGAGGAAGGAACTCAGGGGCGTGTCTTCACCCCCTCACTCCCTTCCCGGCCGTGTCTCCTGCAGAACAACCTCCCTCCCAGCATGATGACCCGCAGAAACACCTATGTTTGCACAGAACGCCCGGGGGCTGAGCGCCCGTCACTGTTGCCAAATGGGAAAGAAAACAGGTACGGAGGGGCAGCACCAGGGTAGGGGGTGGGAAGTAGGGGGTAGGTGAGCAGGACCTCCCTTGATCTGAGATGGTAAGTTTTGGAGGCTGGTGCTGTGGGGACCAGAGAGTGCGTGTATCTGCCCTGCCTTTGGCAGAATCGGCCCAAGTACCCCCCTGAAAGTCCTCCCCACTTAATGAATTAGTTGTCAGCATCAGGAAAGCAGTCGGCGATGTTCTCTGCCTGCGAGCCTTGGGAACCTGAATGATCCATTTTTAGAACTCAAGAGAAGCCCCAGAATGTCACAGCTTCAGCAGCATCTGGTTGGCTGGTTTTACAGCTTGTTGGCCTGCGTCTGTGAGGTCTCTTCCAGCTGGCAAGGGAAGGAAACCAGACAGGTTGGAGCAGAGGCAGGGAAGGGATTAGTTCACATCACAGGTCAAGGCCAGCCAGAGTCAGGCTGGCTCCAGGACAAGGACACTGCCGCCCCCCAGGACTGTAGGGCAGGGTGATGGCCGACACTGGGGCATACTCTGGGATGCACTGATTAGGGGCTGCCCTTGTTCCCATTGGGTGTGGGCAGGGGAATGGTGTAGTTAACAGTCACGATTCTGTGAATACTCACTTCTGAGTTCGAATCTTACCTCTGTGTTCACACTGCTAACAGAATGACTTGGGGCAAATCTCTGAGCCTCTGTTTTCGCTTCCATAAAATGGGCTTGATGCTGGCCGGGCATGGTGGCTCACGCCTGTAATCCCAGCACTTTGGGAGGCCAAGGCAGATCACCTGAGGTTAGGAGTTAGAGACCAGCCTAGCCAACATGGTGAAACCCCGTTTCTACTAAAAATACAAAAATTAGCCAAGTGGTGTTGTGTACCTGTAATCCCAACTACTTGGAAGGCTGAGTGAGGCAGGAGACTTGCTTGAACCTGGGAGGCAGAGGTTGCAGTGGGCTGAGATTGCACCACCACACTCCAGCCTCGGCGACACAGTGAGACTCCAACTCAAAAAAAAAAAAAAAAGTTCACTTCCAGGCCCCATTATAGGAATCCAGTAGAGATCAGGTGTGTCCTGAACCTGGCACTGGGTCTTATGTGTGCTTAGGAGGCCTTCACTCAGTGACTGAGAGTGCATTTTTTTGGGTAGTTATCAAATAAAAATAATAGTGAACATTCATGAAGCAGTAGCCACCTGCCAGGCTTCTATGTATATTGCCTGGCTCAATGCCCCTAACAACTCTGTGAGGTAGATCCTAGTATCTCCATTTTTTACAGCTGAGGACACGAGGCACAGAGAGGTTAAGTAACTTGTCCAAGGCCACACAGCTGGTAAGTCAAGAAGCAGATTCCAGACTGACTCCAGAATCTATTTTTAATCACCATAATACATGGTCTTCCAGTTCTGCTCAAGAGACAGTGGAACAGTTAAATTACAGACTAAAAAAAAAAAAAAAAAAAAGTTTTTAAAACGCAAAAGCAAAACTTACAGACTCAGCTGCTACAATAAAAGAGATCCCAGGGTAGAGTAAATAAGCGGGAGGTTTAGTCTGGATGGCCCTCCCAGGACCCAGGTAAGTTCTTCCAGCCTCAACATGGGACTCCAGCTCTGGGACTGAGACCATTGCACCAGCTGCCATCATTTCCCCATCAGCAAGAAGTGGGGAAAGAATAGAGGACAAGCAGCAATTCTTTTTAAAGGTGTGGCCCACCTGCAATCCTAGCACTTTGGGAGGCCAAGGCAGGTGGATCACAAGGTCAGGAGTTTGAGGCCAGCCAGACCAACATGGAGAAACCCCATATCTATTAAAAATGCAAAAATTAGCTAGGCGCAGTGGAGGCGTGACCCATAGGTGGCACAGAGCACTTCTGCTTATGTCCTATTGGCCAGAACATGGTCACATGACCATCCCCAGCTGCAAGGGAGTCTGGGAAATGTAGTCTCTGGCTGGGTGGCCATGTGCAGTGCTCTAGGGGTTTGGTACCAAGAGCAAAACAGGGAGGATGGATTCTAGGGATTAAGTAGCAGCCTCGCCGGGCGCAGTGGCTCACGCCTGTAATCCCAGCACTTTGGGACGCCGAGGTGGGCAGATCACAAGGTCAGGAGGTCTAGACCATCCTGGCTAACACAGTGAAACCCCATCTCTACTGAAAAAAAAAAAGATTAGCCAGGCATGGTGGCACATGCCTGTAGTCCCAGCTACTCGGGAGGCTGAGGCAGGAGAATCGCTTGAACTCAGGAGGCAGAGGTTGCAGTGAGCCGAGATCCAGCCATTGCATTCCAGCCTGGGAGACAAAGTGAGACTCTGTCTCAAAAAAAAAACAAAACCAAAAAAGTAGCGGCCTCTACCACAGTCAGGATTCTTCTCTGAGATCCAGGCTGGCCTGGAGTCCCTGGGAGGATAGAAATTGGAGGTCTGGCCTGAGCGCAGTGGCTCACACCTGGAATCCCAAGTTTGGGAGACCAGGGTGGGTGGATCACCTGAGGTCAGGAGTTCGAGACCAGCCTGGCCAACATGGTGAAACCCCATCTCTACTAAAAATACAAAAATTAGCCTGGCATGGTAGTGCATGCCTATAGTCTCAGCTACTCAGGAGGCTGAGGCAGGAGAATCCCTTGAACCCAGGAGGCAAAGGTTGCAGTGAGCCAGGATCGCCCCATGGCAATTCAGCCTACACAGAGTGAGACTCCGTCTCAAAAAAAAAAATTAGCCAGGCATAGTGGCTCACACTTGTGATCCCAGCTACTCAGGAGGCCGAAGCAGGAGAATTGGAAAGACGGAGGTCTGGTCCCTGTTGTTGACTGGGAGAGTCCGAGGGGCTGGAGGAGGGTCCTGGGACAGTGGGACTCCCACTGTCCAAATTATCATAGTGAATACAGGTGTCTGTGGCCTTTACAGCTACCCCTTTCCCGATTTTAGATAATGGGAGTTCAGATAGCTAAGTGTTTTGGTTTCTGAAGTTTCAATGACAAATAGCAAGGAAGTCACCCAAAAATGTCTGTGAATCTATTCAGTTGCTGCATTTGGAGAGAGGAGAGTTGTAATGGGGATGGTTTGGAGGGGGTAGAATTCGAAGAAGTGACAGTTCGAAGGAGGGGTAATAGGAGAGGAGAGAGTCGTAAAATAATGTTAGGATTGTATAGTACACAGCCTGCACAACTGTACATGGCAGCCCTGTCTCTGAGTTCTTTGCTGGTTACAGTCCCTGGTCTCAGGACAGGAATGTGAAGAATCAGAGTGACTAGGGCCCTGGCCTGCCTCAGGCCCCCACCCTGACTTGTCTCTCTACCCACAGCTCAGGCACCCCACGGGTGCCCCCTGCCTCCCCCTCCAGTCACAGCCTGGCACCCCCATCAGGGGAGCGGAGCCGCCTGGCACGTGGCTCCACCATCCGCAGCACCTTCCATGGTGGCCAGGTCCGGGACCGGCGGGCAGGGGGTGGGAGTGGTGGGGGTGTGCAGAATGGACCCCCTGCCTCTCCCACGCTGGCCCACGAGGCTGCACCCCTGCCCGCCGGGCGGCCCCGCCCCACCACCAACCTCTTCACCAAGCTGACCTCCAAACTGACCCGAAGGTGAGCTCCGCGGGGATGGCAGGGGCGGGGCAGGGCCAGGGGCTGATGGGACCTAACCTGTCTTCTACTCTGGTCTGTCTCCTGTGCCCCAACATTTTCTCCTCCTCCTCCTCCTCTCCTCCTACCCTGTCGCCCCTCGCCTCCCCCCTCACGCTGCAGGGTTACCCTCGATCCCTCTAAACGGCAGAACTCTAACCGCTGTGTTTCGGGCGCCTCTCTGCCCCAGGGATCCAAGATCAGTAAGTCCCGTCCATGCCCTGTTCTCGCTGGCTCTGCCTTCCTGTCTGCATGTCTGACCTGTGTGCGCGGGCATCAGGGAGGGGGCTCTGTGGATGTGAGCAGGGTACAGGGTCTGTATGTGGGGTCTGGTTGTTCATTTACTCATGGAAGCACAGCTTCTGGAGCCAGACTCAGGGGTTCAAATGGCAGCTCTGCCAAGTGTCCTTAAGCCAGTCACTCAAGGTCTCTGGGCCTCGCTTTCCTCTTCTGTAAAATGGATGTAGTAATAACAGTACCTGCCTCCTAGGGTTATTGTGAGGACTCAATGAGGTGATGTATGGACTGAGCTTAGAACATTGCTTTGGAAAGTGCTTTACCTGTGTATAAATAATTGGCTATTTTTATGAATTGCTATTATTCATTGGGCCCCTACTGCGTGCCTGGCACTGCCCTAGTCCTGTGGTAGAGGGTGAACAAAATGTACGAAACTCCTGCCTTGGCAGAGCCAGCATTCTACTGAGGGATCCAGATAAGAAATAAAGAAATAAGTAAAATATACTTATTATATAGACTGCTAGATACTGTGAAGTACTGAGAAGAAAAATAGGGTAGGAGCCACATTTGGTGGCTCATGCCTGTAATCACAGCCCTTTGGGAGGCTGAGGCAAATGGATCGCTTGAGCCTATGAGTTCAAGACTAGCCTGGACAACATAGCAAGACCCTATCTCTACAAAAAAGTAAATAAATTGGCCGGGCATGGTGGCTGCACGTGTAGTCCCGTGAACTTGGGAGGCTGAGGCAGGAGGATCACTTGAACCCAGGAAGTGGAGGCTGCTGTGAGCTATGATCACACCATTCCAGCCTTGGCAACAGAGGGAGACCCTGTCTCTAAAACAAACAAACAAAAACATAGAACAGCATGGGGGATGAGGGTTGTGGGGAGGGGAAGGGTGCAGCATTAAATGGGCAGGCCTCTGGGTGAGGTGGCTCTGCCAGTAATCCCAGCACTTTGGGAAGCCCAGGTGGGCAGATCGCTTGATTCCAGGAGTTTGAGACCAGCCTGGGCAATATGGCAAAGCCCCATCTCTACAAAAAATACAAAAAAAAAAAACAAAAGAAAAAAAACATCCGCCGGATGTGGTGGCATGCGCCTGTAGTCCCAGCTACTTCAGGGGCCAAGGCAGGAGGATTGCTTGAGCCCAGGAGGTTGAAGCTGCAGTGAGCTGAGATCACACCACTCCTGCATGACAGAGTGGCCTCACTGGAACAAGGGAGACAAGAAAAGGAAAAAAAAGAGCAGGTCTCACGAAGGAGGTGTTGAGCAAAGCATGAATGTGTCTGTGAGTGTGTGTGTGCGTGCGTGCGTGTGCGTCTCTCTGTGACCGCTTCTCTATGTGAGGGTGTGTCTCTGCCCACACCTCTCTTTCACCTTCCACGTTCTTCAGTATCTTTCCTGTGACCTGTACTCGCCCTTGCAGAATGAGCTCCCTTCTGGGGATGGACAGGGAGATGAAATCCTGACTCCAAGCCCTCCCCAGCCCGGAGGGACTGGGGCTGAGGCAGGGGCTGCTCAGAGCCCCAGAGGCAGTGGGTTGGGGGAGGTGGGTTTCCTGTGTCCAGATTAGACACTCTGTCTCCCTCCCCTCCCCCAGGGTCGCAGACGAACCTGAGAGAATCGGGGGACCTGAGGTCACAAGGTGAGTGCTTGAGCCTACCCCTGACTGCCACAGCAGCCCTTCCCTTCTCCTGCCTCAGCACCTCCCAACACTAACCCCAGGGCATTAAATGGGGCCCCAGTCTCATCCTACAAGACCAACTTCCTGAAATTCTCTTTGGCCCCTGCCTTCTCTGCCAGCTCCTCTCACCCGCACCACCTTCCGTTGACCATCTTACACTTCAGCCTCATCCCATCTACAACTCAGCTCTTCCGGTCAATGACCCCACCTCCTTTTCCTCTCATCTGATCTGGCAGAATGGCTGCCGGCAGCTCTGGGCCAGCAGGAGTCAAACATTATCTGTGCAGACCCAGACCATGAAGATTTTAGGCTTTGAGGGCCAGGCACCCTCTGTCACTCCTGTTCAGTTGTCCCATTGTAGTGCAGAAGCAGCCATATTCAACTCAAATGAGTATGACTGTGTTCCAATAAAACTTTACTTAGAAAAACACACAGCACTAGAGTTTGCCAAGCCCTGGCTTAGTCTTGAGTTCCCGGTTTAGAGACCCAGGTGGAAACCCCAGTCTTCCCAGCAGCTGCAACAAACTGCCAGGGCTGACTCATTGGCTGGGACTAGGTCACATGCTCATTTCTAAACCAATGCCTGCAGCCAGAGAGGAGAAGTACTCTGATTGGTCAGACTTGGTCATGTGTTCGCCCTTGACCCAAGCACAGTGGCCAGGGGGTAGAATGCTCTTATTGGCAGTACTGAGTCATGTGCTCACCCAATCTGAGGGGCGGCCTCACTGGACCAGGGAGACCAGCCCCAGGTTGCTCCTACTTCAGGCGAGACATTTCTTTGCTGTGCAGGGCCCTCTGGCACATTGGAGAACGTTTCTCATCCTTGACCTGCCCCATCCTCAACCTAATCAATGCCAGCAGTGCTCCCATCCTAAGACATGTGACAATCAAAAAGCCCAGAGAGGCCAGGCACGGTGGCTCATGCCTGTAATTCCAGCAACTCAGGTGGCCAAGGCAGGAGGATCACTTGAACTCAGGAGGTGGAGGCTGCAGTGAGCCATGATTGAACCACTGCACTCCTGCCTGGGGGTACACAGCAAGACCTTGTCTCAAAAAAAATTTTTAAGTGGCCTGGCGATGTGGCTCACGCCTGTAATCTCAGCACTTTAGGAGGGCCAAGGCAAGCAGATCACTTGAGGTCAGGAGTTCAAGACCAGCCTGGCCAACATGGTGAAGCCCCGTCTCTACTAAAAATACAAAAATTAGCTGGGCGTGGTGCCTATAGTCCCAGCTACTTAGAAGGCTGAGGCAAGAGAATTGCTTGAACCTGGAGGCAGAGGTTGCAGTGAGCCGAGATTGTGCCATTGCACTACAGCCTGGGAGACAAGAACAAAACTGTCTCAAAAACAAAAAAAAAAAAAGAGAAACAGTACCGGGCACTGTGGCTCATGCCTGTAATCCCAGCACTTTGGGAGGCCGAGGCAGGTGGATCACCTGAGGTCAGGAGTTCAAGACCAGCCTGATCAACATGGTAAAACCCTGTCTTTACTAAAAATACAAAAAAAAAATTATCTGCGTGTGGTGTGGTCGCGTGCACCTGTAATCCCAGCTACTTGGGAGGCTGAGGCAGTAAGATCGCTTGAGTCTAGGAGGTCAAGACCAGACTGGACAACATGATGAAACCCTGTCTCTCTAAAAAAAAAAAAAAAAAAAAAAAAAACTAAAAACAACTACCTGGGCATGGTGGCGTGTGCCTGTCGTCCCAGCTACTAAGGATACTGAGGCAGGAGGGTCGCTCAAGACCAGGAGTTCAACGCTGCAGTGAGCTGTGATCCAGCTTAGTGACAGGATGAGATCCTGTCTCAAAACAAGAAATTTCTGCCAGGCACGGTGGCTCATGCCTGTGATCCCAGCACTTTGGGAGGCACCCGCTGGTGGATCACGAGGTCAGTAGATCAAGACCATCCTGGCCAACACGGAACCCCGTCTCTACTAAAAATACAAAAAATTACCTGGGTGTGGTGGCGCACACCTGGAATCCCAGCTACTAGTAGGGACTGAGGCAGGAGAATTGCTTGAATCCAGGAGGCAGAGGTTGCAGTGAGCTGAGATGATGCCACTGCACTCCAGCCTGGGCTTCAGAGCGAAAATTCGTCTCAAAAAAAAAAAAAAAAATTTCCCATTCAAACCATGTGGCCAAGCCTCTGTGCGGTCATTCAGGTCCACAGGTTCTTCCATCCCCATCCCCTGGAGCCCTCATGTCATCTTCACAGTTGAGGCTGGCCTGTGCCACTGCCAAGTCCAGCTCCTGGAGGACGTGGGACAGGAGAGCCTGGCACGTGCAGGGCCTTTGAGGACCGAAGTGGATTCCACACCTCACTTCTGCTCATGTCCCAGAATTTAGAGACAAGGTCACACCCGGCCTCACGGGAGGCTGGAAAGTGTGGTCTCTAGCTGGACAGCTCTGTATCCAGCTGAAACTATCAGTGGAGTAAGAGGGGAGGATTTTTTTTTTGAGGGGATGGCTAGGAATCTGTCCTAAAGTGGGAAGAATTGTTCCTTGAGCCCTCCACCCGCGTTCCTCTTCGCTCCCTTCTCTGACCCTTGATACCTTCTCGCTTTAGTTGCCATCTACCTTGGGATCAAACGGAAACCGCCCCCCGGCTGCTCCGATTCCCCTGGAGTGTGAAGCTGACCAGCTCTCGCCCTCCCGAGGCCCTGATGGCAGCTCTGCGCCAGGCCACAGCAGCCGCCCGCTGCCGCTGCCGCCAGCCACAGCCGTTCCTGCTGGCCTGCCTGCACGGGGGTGCGGGCGGGCCCGAGCCCCTGTCCCACTTCGAAGTGGAGGTCTGCCAGCTGCCCCGGCCAGGCTTGCGGGGAGTTCTCTTCCGCCGTGTGGCGGGCACCGCCCTGGCCTTCCGCACCCTCGTCACCCGCATCTCCAACGACCTCGAGCTCTGAGCCACCACGGCCCCAGGCCCCTTCCTCTTCCTCTCCCTTGTCCCCTATGCTTCTACAAGAGAGGAAGGGGCCAGGGAGGGGATTCTCCCTTTGTCATCACCTCAGTTTCCCTGAATTAGATTTGGGGGCACAGATTGTCCCCTCTGCTGTTCTCTGGGGCCGCTCAGCACAGAAGAAGGATGGGGGGCTCAGCGGGGGAAGCTGGCACCTTCCTGGAGCCTCCAGCCAGTCCTGTCCCCCCTCGCCCTGCCAAGGGGGCACCTGAGGAGACTTTGGGGGCAGGGCAGGGGCAGGGAGGGCAACTGAGGAAACCTTTCATTCCCCCCAACAGCTCAAAATTAGGCCTTGGGCAGGGACAGGGAGAGCTGCTGAGCCTAAAGACGAGAATTTGGGGGACTGGGAGTGGGGGTCAGAGAGGCAGTTTCCTTCCCCTCCCCTCCCCTCACACTCAAACCCCCCACCTTTCCTGCCCCAGGCTGGCGCGGGGCACTTTGTACAAATCCTTGTAAATACCCACCCCCTCCCCTCTGCAAAGGTCTCTTGAGGAGCTGCCGCTGTCACCTACGGTTTTTAAGTTATTACGCCCTGACCCTCCTCCTGTCAGCCCCCTCACCTGCAGCCTGTTGCCCAATAAATTTAGGAGAGTCCCCCCCAGTGCTGACCCTAGGGTTTTCCTTCCCTGCCCTCACCAGCAAGTGAGTTGCAGAAGAGGCATGGGACTCCGGGCAGTGGTTTTTCCTTTTAGAGCCTCGGTTTTCTCATCTGCAGAATGGGAGCGGTGGGGGTGGAAAGGTAAGGATGGTCGTGGAAGAAGGCAGGACAGAACTCAGCCTCATCCCCGAGGCCCCAGTTCCTATATCGGGCCCCCCATTCATCCACTCAGCACTCCCAGCCACCATGTTACACTGGACTTTTAAGCCACTTCTTACTCCGGTAGTAAATTTATTCAATAAACAATCATTGACCTGTGCCTACTCCATGCCAGGCCCAGTGCTGGACACGGAGGCATGAAGCCCTGTCTGTGGGACACATGGGTTCTGACACACACACTAGACAAACCATTGTCTTGGGAGCCCAGAAGGGAAAGTGGGCGGGATACAGTCATTGCAGAAGTTGTTCTAGAGGAATTAATGCTGGACTGGGGTGTTGAAGGATGAGTAGGAGTTGGCTAGGCATGGAGTATGGCCTGGGCAAAAGCCCAGAAGTGGGAGTGTGTGGCATGTCTTCAGAGAGCTGTAGGTGGTTTCAGTGTGGCTGCTATGTTGGGCATGGATGCAAAGTTAGCAAGAGAAATGCTGTATTAGGACTAATAATCCGTCTATACTGCTTAAGCAAACAGGTGTTTGTGGGCTTATGTTATTTAATAATCCAGGGAACTCAACTTCAGGTATGGTTTGATCCAGGCATCAGGGCATTGTATCTTTTTTTTTTTTTCAGTGTAAATTGAATTCTAGTAGTTTTTATCAAGTAAGTTATTTCCTGATGGCTCAGATGACCTCAGCAGTTAGAAGTGTCTATCCCTCCAGCTTACTGCAGCAGAAAGATCTTCATTGTCGGTTTCCCAGCAAAAGTCCCAAGGCAGACTCTCATTGGCTCAGTTGGGCCATGTGATTATCTCTGAACCAATCACTGTGACTACAGTGACCAGACTCAGAGCTGCACTTCGTGGGGGTTTCTCAAAGGAAGGTCAGGTGTCTTGAGCAGGAGAAAAGGCCTGGGAGCTGAACAGATTTAAGTGGTTCAGAGCTGTGCAGTACGGAAGGGTGGGACTTATTCACACAGCACCTTTGGGGCCAAAATGAATAAGCTGGACTTTCTCCCGAGGCACTGGGGAGCCATGGAAGTTCAGGGAGCTTCAGGAAGGAGGCTTAGTGAATTCCTGACGGCATCTTTTGTGCTGGGGACACAGTGGCAATCAGGACAGCCCCAACACTGCCGTCATAGAGCTCACGGTCCAATAGAGGAGGCGGATGTATCCTCAGGCACTGACTGGGCAGGGCTGGCATAGGGGAGTCCAGAGGCGATGCCTGCCTCAGCCAGGGAGGGCTTCCTGGAGTAAAAGGAGCCAGCTAGCCATGGGTAGGAGTGCATTCTAGGCAGAGCAAATGGCACATATAAGGGCCGGGGGAGCAAGAGAAAGGATAAGTCCTTCAGCAAATGGCATGTGACAGCAATGCTAAGTGTAGAGTCGCTGTGAGAGATGGGGCTAGGGGCGTCAGCAGAGCCTTGAAGGTTATGGACAGGGGGCTGGGCTTTCTTCCAAGGGCATTGGGGGAGCCATGACAAGGCCATGGCCAGGGGAGAGATTTAGGGTGGTTTGTGCTACTTGCAGGGTGGAAGGAAGGAAACGTGAGGTCAGAAGAGCAGGAAAGAGGTTGGGGCTGGACAGATGGGGGAAGCAAGAATAGAGTTGAGAGTTACAGGAGGCAAAGTGGGCAGGACGTGGTAACTGATGGGTGTCTGGACTGCGGCTCCGGCTGGCTCAGATGGTCCCCACTGGGGTGTCAGTGGTCTGTGTAACTCGCGGATGTGGAGCTGGGATCTTCAACTGGGGACAGCACAGTAAAGAACATTCCAGCATCTCACAGGTTCTGCATGCCTTGATCTTTGGGGTCTCTTCTAACCTTCCTTTCAGTAATCTCCCTGGGAACTCCTGGGGACATCCCTAGGCCTCAGTTTCCCCGCTGTAAAACAGAGGGCAGATATATTCAACTGTAAGGGCCCTTAACTTCTGTGACTTGGGGTTTGAAAAGCACCTCTTCTAGATTCCTGAAGGCTCTGTCAGGCCTTCCATTTACTCCTGCCTCATTTTTCCCACCCCACGCCCACCCCCAAAACCTTTGTCCTTGTCAACGGAGATCTTAATCTGTTTCGCTGGGTGGGGGTGATTGATGTGCCCAACACCCAATGCGTGATCAGATACTGCTTAACTTCTGTTACCTCTTCTCCCTCGCACAATCGCTCTATCACGCCTCCTTCCTGTCCCTTCCTGGGACTGAGTTCTCCGAAAGTCCCTACTTCATGGGGATGATCAGAATCAAGTTCCAGATTGGAGGGGGAAACAGCTTGGTCAAAGACACTGAGGTGAGAATTGGAGGGTGTAAGATGTGAGTCAGAGGAATCATGGGGAAAGAACTGGAAAGATGCAAATGGTCTGCATTTCAGTGTGGCTTTGAGTTGCAAATAACAGAAAGGCGTTCTAGGAGAAATGGGGAGCCATGGCAGGTTCTTGAGCAAAGTAAGTGATGTTCGGCTTGGCGCAGTGGCTCATGTCTGTAATCCCAACACTTTGGGAGGCTGAGGCAGGTGTATCACGCGGTCAGGAGTTTAAGACCACCCTGGCCAATATGGTGAAACCCCGTCTCTACTAAAAATACAAAAATTAGCTGGGTGTGGTGGCACACGCCTGTAGTCCCAGTTACTCGGGAGGCTGACGTGGAAGAATCGCTTGAACGCGGGAGCAGAGGTTGCAGTGACCCAAGACTGCGCCACTGCACACCAGCCTGGGTGACAGAGCGAGACTCCATCTCTAAATTAATTAATTAATAAGGGGTGTTCAAAAGACTGGCAGCAGCTACAGAGGGATGAAGTCAGACTGGATAGAAGGAGACCAGTGAGAACCAGGATAGAGGTATATGTGATGAGCTGCATGGGAGGTCTCAAGCTGGAGACCACCTGACTAAATTTAAGCCTCAGACATTCCATTGGGCTGCATTCCTCCCCAGCGTGGACCTTGGGATTGAGATCTGAGCATGGCTAATTCAAAGCTACAGTTGGAAAGGGCCCATGATTTGGGAGAGTGACGCTGGGCTCAGTGCCTCTCGGGGTCTCAGATCCATAGAGCCTTCTGATTTCTTTTTTTTCTTTTCTTTTCTTTTCTTCTT